CTATTAGGGTTTCATTTTTAAGAATGTGACAAAATTCAAGTATATGAGAACATCAATAACAAATTAATATTGTAGGAATATAGAAAGTAAAACTGTACCTGTAACAGGCCGTGAGGGCCATAGCGTTGTGAGACGTCGAGGATCCCACATTTTCTACACAATCGACTCACAGATGGCGGTGAGGTTATCAGCATTACTCGCCGGCCACCCTTTAACACCAAGAAGATTCCTGGTACTCATTTCTCTCTGAGGTTCAGTCGACTGCAGGACCACAGTGCGGCTGGAAGGATTAGTTCAATTGAAAAATTGAATGACCTGATTGGGAATCAAACCCGCGGCCTTCCGGCTTGTAGCATAGTGCCTCAACCAAATACTCTACAGCGTGCCACTCATTATAAACCTGTTCATAATGGAATTAAGAGTAGATTAATTTTGAAAAATGCTTGCTGCTATTTGGCTAAGAATATTTTCTTCTTTCTCTGAATATCTAACAACTTGAACATTACAAGATATGAGGCCTGAGACTATAATTTTGGGAAATATTTCTTTTTCGTATTGAAAAATGCTTGCTGTTATTTGGCTAAGAATATTTTCTTCTTTCTCTGAATATCTAACAACTTGAACATTACAAGATATGAGGCCTGAGACTATAATTTTGGGAAATATTTCTTTTTCGTATTGAAAAATGCTTGCTGTTATTTGGCTAAGAATATTTTCTTCTTTCTCTGAATATCTAACAACTTGAACATTACAAGATATGAGGCCTGAGACTATAATTTTGGGAAATATTTCTTTTTCGTATGGGTTTGGATCTGGGTATAAATGCTAAAGAAGAACGTGAGTATTGAAGATGTTTGAGAATAAGGCGGCTGGTAAGAAAGTTATGCTGAACCTAAGAGTAAAGCCGCAGGAGGACGGAGCAAGGTTTGCAGTGACCATTAAGATTTTGTACACTTCATGTAACGTTACTACGATGGTTAAACAGAAGGGGATAAGAAGAGATGAGAAACAAGAAAAAATAATGTAAAATTTTGGTCAAGGAAACTCAAGGTAAGGGGCTGGGTAGGAGGACATTTGTGCGTGGATGGGAAAGTGGGAACTTAATCTCCGGAAAATGGGGTATGAAAGTGATTACCTTGATGTTAGTTAAAGAAATGCGGTATCTAACTACTCCATTGATCTGAGTTTTCTTGAGAAGTCGTAAATGGTTCAATTACTCAAGGATTTCTCAACATTTTATAGAGCACGAATATTCATTGCCGTACTCACAAAAGCCCAGACCACTGGTCCATATCCTGAAACAGACGAATCCAGTCCGTACCATCCCATTCTATCTCTCTAAAATTTATTTTAATATTATTCTCCCACCTACGTCTAGGTCTTCCTAGTGATCTCTTTCTTTCTGGCCATTTTACCATAAAATCCTATATGCAGTCCCTTCTCCACATGCGTGCTACATGCCTTGCTCATCTCATTCTCTTTCTGGCCATTTTACCATCAAAATCCTATATGCAGTCCTCTTCTCCCCATGCGTGCCACATGCCTTGCCCATCTCATCCTCCTTGACTTGATCATTCTAATTATACTTGGAGAAGAGTACAAGTTATGAAGCTCCTCATTATGCAGTTTTCTCCAACCTCCTGTCACTTCATCCCTCTTCGGTCCAAATATTCTCCTCAGCGCCATGTTCTCAAACACCCTCAGTCTATGTTCCTTCCTTCATGTCAGATATCAAGTTCCACGTCCATACAGAACTATAGAAAAATTAAAGTTTTGTATATTTTAATTTGTACGTTTTTAGACAGCAGATGGAGAGACAAAATTTCTGGACTGAATGGTAGCAAGCATTAATTCAGTCTCCTCTTTAATTTCCTCCTAATCAAATTTTGATTTGTTACTGTGGTGTTCCTCAACTGCAGTTCAGAGATTATGTTTTAAATGGCTTAGAAGTTTCTGACGGCAACTTTATTAAGATGTTCGTCGCAGAAGAAAAGATTCTGCCGTCCCACTTCGATGATTTCAAATCTGTGATCCTTCATGCGCTCAACATCCCCTACCTGGTGTCAACAGTTTATACTAATCTGAAGAACTGTGGACATTTCTGCCATCTATTGGATGGAAGTAATACTTACTACAGGGCTTCGCTGTATCGATACGTATTCGATCTACTCGATTGCCGGCATCGAATGATAGCAGACGATAGCAGTGGAGGCGGTTCGTGTGGAGAAAAAGCGCGAAAGTATGCGTATGTTGTTAATGCATTGGTCAGTGGAAACTTTACTAATTATGCACAAAAGTAGAATGATTTTAGATTTTTACGGTGGTGAATTACTGATGTTAATTCTGTTCTTGGTCTATTACACCGTGTGGTTGTGGGCGGTGTTGCCGGCTCCATCAATAGAATCGCACTGTGACACTTGGACATTGGAGGTAGATTCGGTGTAACAACCCCAAAACAAAATTAACATTAAAAAAGGTGAGATTCTTATAACAGACAACATGCAGTGCGTCTTCTTTCCAGTTTTCATTTTCTCAAAGGAAGACAAATTATGGATAGGTGGAACAGACCAAAAGAAAAGAATCCTGATTTGTTAGTGTTTATAAACTGCAACACATTCGTTAATCATGTGATGCTATATAGGCTTGATACTCAGAGCATCGTTACATAACCATCTTCAAGAGTTATAGTAGATAAAAGCATGTGATTAATGGCCAACAAAACTGTTATCATCGTGTATGGTTGAGGGGAAAACTACATTAGGTGCATTGGTTGGTATATCGTTGGGCTATGGGCTGGGAGATTGGGGTTCATTTTCCAGTGGAGATAAGATTTGTCCTCCACATCATCCAGAACATCTTCGAGGCCCACCCAGCCTCTTATCCAGTGGGCACATGTGGCTCTTCAGGTGTAAATCAGCCAGGGTGTGAAGCTGTTATCTCCATCTGATGCTGCAGTCAAGAATGGTGAAGCTATACCCCTACTCTCCCATACGTCTTCATGTCACTGTACTAAATTAGGCACAGGGACAGCTCTACATGAGTATAGTGTTCTACAGAATGACTGAGTAAGATATTGGAAGGGGTATGACTCTTTCAAGAAAGTTAGGTCTCTGGGCCTTCTTGAATACAAGCCAGGAATGCTAATCATTACACTGTGACATTCAGTATTGCCCCATTTTAATTGTGACAAAATTATTAAAATCCGCATTTTTTGTTTTCCTCTAGTTAATTCACCTCTCTGTTGCTGAACATAATAATTTGGAGGTAACTGCAAAAGGAAGCATTGCATCACATTACATGATCATCTGACAGTAAAGTCAGGTCACTACTTTTTCTCCAAAAATTTTCCTTAACTACAGAATCCTTTTCTATTGAGTAGCATCACACTCTACACCCCCACTCCAAATACATAGTTTTATATCTGCTGCAAGCCTAAAATATTCTATGACTGTCTATGTATTAAGTCCATCAATAATGCAACAGTCATTAAAATATTCACCATTTAGCACTAACACAACATGTTTCGGCCACAGACGGCCATCCACAGGTGATTCGATGCATCTAAACTGTTACATTGCTTTGGTGCGTGCCAAAATTGCGGGTTGCAGCCCTCTTAAAATGAAAGATTCTAATAGAAAAATTTTAATGAATTTTAAGTAATTATTTATGCTGCTTTAAGCGGACTGCAATACACAATTTTAGCACACATCAAAGCAGTGTAACAGTTTGGACGCATTGAATCACCTGAGGATGGCCATCTGTGGCCATATACAATATACAATTTCTTTATTAAAACCGTCACAACACAACTATATTAAGGCACTGATCTTAATATAGTTGTGTTGTGATGGTTTTAATAAAGAAATTGTATTTTAATGATTGTTGCATTATTGACGGACCTGATACATAGACGTTTAATTAAAGATGTGCAACAGGATGCTGAAATACAGAATTCTATTACCGCTGAAGTGACTAGACTGCCGTTGTACCAGAAGCTACTGTACTGAGCGCAGACTGACAGAGGCCTTGTATATACTGTATATACAAACATTTGGTAAGAAGATGTAAATAATTGTACGTATTGACAATTGACTAATATTGCTCACTGCGATTCTGACAAAGGG